AGTTGGGGCAACCACACTGGCAGGGGGGGCAGTAAGGAGTGACCAGGCCAGCAGGGGCGGCAGTTAGGAGCGACCAGGCCGGAAGGGAGGGGGCAGTTGGGGGTGACTTGGCCGGCAGCAGGAGGCAGTTAGGGTCAACCAGGTAGGCAGGCAGGTGAGCGATTAGGAGCCAGCAGTCCAGGATTGTGAGAGGAATGTCCGACTGCCAGTTTAGGCCAGATCCCCGATATTGGGCCTAAACCAGCAGTCAGACATCCCCCAAGGGGTCCCAGATTAGAGAGGGTGCAGGCTGGGCTGAGGGAAACCACCCCGCCCCCATGCACAAATTTTGTGCACCAGGCCTCTAATGTGTGTGTGTGTGTGTGTGTGTGTGTGTGTAAATAATTTACTTGGCATTCATTCATCAGATTCTTACTGTAGGCAGGGCACTGTGCTGGGTCCTGGCCTCTGTTAGGGAAGAGTATGATACAGATTTGCACATATTATAGTTTTTGCCCTTTAAAATGAGCTTATGCTATGGTTAGCAAAGAAAGTACATCAAATGCTAAGTATAAGTATATGATGATACATAAGCATTATAAAATAAGCAGTATTGGGAGTTCAAACATGGGATAGATTATCATCAGCTGGTACAGTTAAGGTTAAGCTTTTGCTGAAGAAAGTGAGTTAAAAGGATAATTTCAGAGGATGAGAAAGATCTAGATAAAAAATATCAGAGATGACTTAAACTCTTAATGAAACAATTTCTTCTCTTTTCCTTAATTTTAAGTTTAGGCAGAACTATATTTATTATCTCTATTAATGGAATGCAGGAAACCTAGGTTTTTAGTCAAAGATCTGCCATTAATACGCTGTGTAATCTTGGATAGTCAAGACTTTTAAAGTAACAGAGAATCTTAAAATTTTCAGTTGTTTATCTAGGTTAACCCCTCAGTGCTTTTGATATTTTCAACTATAAAGTTGGAATAATTAATTTCTTAATTTCACTGCATTATTATGAAATGAAGTTCTGTAATATAAATTTAAGGTGTCATCATAGCTATCTTTCAGATGACTGAACTAGTTTGGCAGATTCAAGGTATATATTCTTTAAAATTTGTTTTTATACCAAAACTTTTACTTACTTATAGATTGAAAACTGTAACTATGCAGTGGAACTTGGGAAGAATAAGGCCAAATTCTCCTTGGTTGGCATTGCTGGGCAGGACCTAAATGAAGGAAATTCAACACTGACACTGGCATTGGTATGGCAGCTAATGAGAAGGTAAAGGCAGCAATGTTTATAGCAACACTGTGGATTTCTTTTTAAAAATCCTTTGAACTAAAGTTTTAGTTCATTTGGAAGAATAACAAACACAGAATAAATATACTACAAAAATATTAATTTTTAAATGATTGTTGATACTATATTCTTTGTAAATCCTTTTTTAATAGTGGATAAATCTCTAGAAACAATCACTATTCTTAAAAACTGCGTTGAATGGAGTTGTTTTAATTTTTTTAATACCAGATAGTAGTTTTTGTTTCTCATTACTGAGCTTTGTAACTTTGGATTATAACTAAGTGCAAAAACCAGGTTAAAATTAAAAATAGTTGTTAGAATTGAATATTTCTTAAATATTTATCTAAATGTTGATATAAATGATGTGGGAGCAGATTTCACCCCTTTCAGTCTCAAATATACATCTTTTCTGTTACAGGTACACATTGAATGTGTTATCAGATCTTGGAGAAGGTGAAAAAGTCAGTGATGAGATTATAATTAAATGGGTCAATCAGACTCTTAAAAGTGCAAACAAAAATACTTCTATTTCCAGCTTCAAGGTAATCAAAGCTATTTTAAAAATTTTTGGTAAGAAATTAAGTGTAGGAATAAACTTTATTGAGAATTACATTGGTTTAGTTTCAGGATTACATTAATGTTATATCTCAGGATCACAATTTGTGAGCTTAGGCATACTAATTATTTGGCATGTGTAAACCAAAACTGTACAGTGTGAATTCTTATATTTTTGATTCGTTGTCCTATTGAGTATAAATGCAGGTTAATGTTATCAGATTCTGATATTCTAATCTTAAAAAGAAATAGAATAGAGCAATAAAATAGAATTGTCAGATGAAAAAGAAAGCTTAAAAGCCATTGTTTATATAGGATCTGTAATGTTTTGTGCTCCCTAGCAGCAGTCTCAGAATTGTATTGACATCATTTCCAAGGCATAACAGAGCCAACCAAACCAATTCAAGTGGGAATTGAAAAAACTGGTAGGAATAGAAAATCTTATCATGTGGCTTCATAATGGCACTTAATGCTCACTTCCAAGCATTTGTGGATGATTCATAAAGCACTCAAAATGTAATTTGCACATGCATACCCACTAATTGTCATGCATTTCCATTGTTTTGCTTTTGCATGCAAGCTGATGTTAGCTACAACTAAGCATGTCTGCTTGTATCCATTCATTCAGTGAGCCTTGTGTTTGTAATTTCATTATAAGTGAGAAATCAGCAATTTGTATTTTTGTAATAAAATAAGAGTGCAAACAGATGAATCCCTAAGTTCTCCTAAGACTTATCTATCCATCTTTATTCTCTTCTTTGCCTTTGCTCTATATGTTTAACAACATTGTAGAGTAGAAGAAATGTCAGAAATTGATAAATTCAATCTTCTCATCTTTACCTAAACTGAGCCCCAAAGTGGTTTTAATAGGATAGCTCAGTGATCACCAAACTGCGGCTCTCGAGCCACATGCGGCTCTTTGGCCCCTTGAGTGTGGCCATAAAGTTTCAATCGCACTGTACGTGCACGCCCGCACATGGTATTTTGTGGAAGAGCCACACTCACGGGGCTGCAGTTTGCCGACCACTGGAGCTGGATTTTGGCAGAGATATTGCCTGAGTCCTGGTGGTTCAAGTGTGTTTTTTCTTTTCCATCTTGGAAGGAACTAATGACATTGAGTTTTTATTGTTGCTTATTAAAAAAAAAAGAATTTCAGTCCATGATTTGTCTTTTTACATTTTAGACATAAAACACAACATAAAAATGTAAAATAGGAAAGGAGACATGTAAAATTCTCCAATTGACAGTCACTCATTAAAATTGTTATACTGTAACTTAATGCATTTGTACTTTAATTTATAAAAAACAATTTGTGTATAATCAAATAAAATACAGTCAGAAAACATTTAGGAACAAATTAATAAGTTTTTATTGAGCTTTTACCAGTAACATTTCTAGGCAAAGAAGAAGATATAGAATATAAGAAATTATTTAGCCCTCAGAGTGTTCACCATTTACTTGAAAGGCAAATTTGTATAACTGAGAAGGTAATGATATTATACTCATTAATTAATGCAACTACTATTATGGATAAATCTAACTGATCGTTTCCAACTGAATGGTCAGTGAAGAGTAATGAAGAAAGTTGGATTTGATTTGAGCACCATGGAGAGGAGGGATTTGAATTGGTGGAGAACAAGAGTGGAAGGGGTCCATCTTTAATAAAGGCAAGTCTGAGAAGGTTAGGAGAAATAGTTTGGCTAGAGAAGCAGGTTCCTAAGGGATACAATGCAAGATATAGGCTGGGTTAATATTGTGGAGAAATCTGGCCTTAATAAAGAATATTGGTAAGGGCAGTAATGTAAGAAGAGTGACTATTTTAAGAATACTGTTCTGCATGTGGTGAGCAGATGGCTGGAGGAAGAATAGTTTAAATCCAAGTACAGTATATAAGAAGCTGAGGCTGAACTCAGGTATGAAGTAAAGGATCTGGAGGTAGGGTGGTCACTGAGAATGTTAAGAATGAATAATATTGCCGAAATCGGTTTGGCTCAGTGGATAGAGCATCGGCTTGCGGACTGAAAGGTCCCAGGTTCGACTCCGGTCAAGGGCATGTACCTGGGTTGCGGGCACATCCCCAGTGGGAGATGTGCAGGAGGCAGCTGATCGATGTCTCTCTCATCGATGTTTCTAACTCTCTATCTCTCCCTTCCTCTCTGTAAAAAATCAATAAAATATATTAAAAAAAGAGAATGAATAATATTTGCTATTGTAAAAGAATAGGTATGATTTGGCTTCTTGATTTAGGGAAACACTGCAGAGATTTTTCAAATCAGGTTAAAACTCCTGATTTGAGGGCCTGGATAAATGGAAAACAAAGTATAACAAAAATGGGAATGTCATGAGGTTCAGCTGCTTTCTGGAAAAGAAGATGAATTCAGTTTTAAGCTTGTTGAATTTGAGGTGATTTTCAGGAAGTGAGGAGCTGGATGAAAGGAGATATCAAAACTGGAAATACAGCCTGGCTGGTGTTGCTCAGTAGTTGAGTATTGACCTATGAATCTGGAAGTCACGGTTCGATTCCTGGTCAGGGCACATGTCCGGGTTGTGCTTTCGATCCCCAGTAGGGGGTCTACAGAAGGCAACCAATTAATGATTCTCTGTCATCATTGATGATTCTATCTCTCTCTCCCTCTCCCTTCCTCTCTCAATAAAAACTTAAAAAACAACAACCGGAAACACATACTTGGTGATCAGTTGAATAGAAGAAATAGTTGAGAATGGGTGCACACAAGCTCTTTAAGGGAGAGAATTCATTGAGAAAAGTAGACTTGAGAGTATGGTTTTATTTAGCATTAGGCGGCAGAAACATACTGTGGATGTGCTTGGCATTTAGTAGGTGCTTGACATAAAACTCTAGATTGTAAATAGTTAAGAAATTCGGCAGTGAATGCTAAAAATAGTTGGGGTTGGAGAGGTTTTTTCCAACTGTAGAAGGCATTATAATTGAAAGCCATAAGTAGTACTAGCAAGAACCATAATTAAGTCAGTGCTATGCCTAGAAATTTCAGAAAAGTCAAGTTTACCCTTTTTAGTTATCAAGTAATTTTCCCTCACAAAGAATACCAGGAGGCAGTATATTAGCCAATAATAATAATCATAATTGCCATTTATTGAGTTCTATGTGTCACTATGTTAAAACTTTACACATTATTATTTCTTTTTTCCACAACTCTATAAACAAAAAGATGAGCATTAGAAAAATTAAATAACGTGTCCACTGTCATCCTGTATAATAAAAGCCTAATATGCTAAGTGTCTGGTCGTCCATTCAACCAATCAAACCATAATATGCTAATGATATGCTAAGGCCACTCAACTGCTGCTATGACATGCACTGATCG